GGGGGTGGGGGGGCAGTCCATTGCTAGTGGGATTGAGCCATCGCCGATGGAGTAGGCCTCCTCACCATCCGCGTAAGTACGCGTCTCGCCCTGATCCCGAACCACCGGCACAGCCCGGCCATCGTGAGGGCTGCAGGAGGGCAGACAGTGAACAGGGGAGGCAGATCGGGTGTTTTGTTGTGATAAAGAAGAGGAGTTATAAAAAAGAAGGGGGAGGAGGGGGAGAGGAGGGGAGGGGAGGTGGAGGAGACAGGGAGAGCAGGAGCGAAGGGGGATGGCCTGTGGCTGTTGTCGGTGCAGGCAGCATGCATGTCGAGTCATTCAGAGCAAATTCAATTCAGACGCCGGCTCCGAGGTCGGCGTGTGGTGTGATGGTAATTTTAAACGAGGTGGGAAGCCTGAAACAGCAGGTGTGTGTGTGTGTGTGGTGTGTGTGTGACATATAGAACACAGAGCTAGAGTGTATAGATATTTTAATGCAGAACTGTTACAGATTATAGTTTTAAGTACATCCCAGCTAACTTTCCCAGCTCCAGCACAGAGCAGCTTACACTTTTACCAGGAGGCATGATGTGGATGAGACAGCCCCGAACAGGACAACATCTAAATACACAAACAGTCAGACGGTGAAGAGTGAAAGTCAGTACGATCACTACGACCCCCCCCCCCAAACTCATTTCAATACAAAAGCTCTTCTTCCTGACGCCTCTCAGCTCATTACAACATTTCTCTCCTGTCACCATCTGTTCCCCTGTCCCTACAACGCCCCTCACCCTCTCACCACCCCAGACTTGTTGGTCTCTCCGGTCACCCTAAAAACACTCACAAGATTTACTAATTTAGCTCCTCATCAAAGGCTTTGAGGATCGGAGGACAGACAAAGAAAGTGAGAACTGTGTGATGTGAATGCAGATTAAAATGCAGCACGGTACAGACACAGCAAACTGTCAAAAACATGTCAGATCACCTCAAATAACCTTCATTTAATGAAGAAAACAAAGTTTTGCACTGAGCCATTCAGTCGTTGCACAAACTTATCCCCTCCCTCACTCTTCTGCAGTTTAAGGAGATAAATGCTCTCACCTGACCTGCTGCTGTAAACACACACACACATACACACATACAGTGAGTGACACATGTTAGCTCTTCAATGACTAACCCTCCACAACCAGCACTCCTGTAGCCTGGTTCATAGATTTTAAAAATGTGTCCCCAGAAAATAAAAACCAGTGAAGACCAGTGTTTCTGGTCCTGTTTCCTCACTTTGCACTTTACACTCTCTTTCTGTTTTTAAAATATGATTATAGGAAGCCAGCATTTGCCCCTGAAATCTATCTTTGCCAATGATAGCTTGAAATGACATTTAAATGGTGATTTAGTCAGATTTTCACTTAAAATACAAGCTCTTCCAACCGTCCCACCAGCAGGACAGTCAACTCACTCAAAGTCACAGGATTTTATCTTGAATGTTAGTGGAGATCCAAAAGTTTTACAGAGGTATCACTTAGCCGGGCCGAATTTTGGAAAATGTGTATACAATAATGCACAAGAGATCTAGAATACTTCAATTTGATTGAATGGAGCAGCTGCAACAACAAACGTCTGGTTCATTGTCATACAGCTTCAATGGAGCTGCAATAGTTAGTTGATTCATTGATTAGCTGCCAACTATTGAGTTAATCACCAACTATTTTGATTGTCGATTAAAGTTATTATTTAAGAAAATGATTGATGATTTCAGCTTCTCAAATGTGAATATTTTCTGGTTTCTTATTGAGTTGTGGACATTTGAGGACGTCAGTTTGGGCTTTAGGAAACATTTTCCACCATTTTCTGACATTTTATGGACCAAACAACTAATAGATTTAACAAAATAAAAATAATTTTAGTTGCAGCAATACAATTAAGAGCTGGAAGAATATTTACATGATACTATTGTGAAATTCTTCTAAATTTTAAGATACTTAAAAGGGGGGTTAAGTACATAACACTTAAAATAGAAGTTTTTTTTAAAGTCATTACACCAAATTAGCACTGGTTCTTGATACAGTTCCGTTCAAAATCCTTGGAACCTTGGTGCTATGCAGCGTACCAGCCTGTGTTTCCACCACAGCCATTGTATTCAAGGATGTGTCATCAACAGAGGGTGCTTCACAATATACAACGACCTGTAGAAAAGTTTTTCGGGTTGCTAACCAATTTATTTTTGGTTATTTTTGGTTATTTATTCAAAACTAGGTGCGCAAACCAGAACGGAGATTCCTCTAATTGAATATCAAGCAAAAAAAATTAAATAATATAATAAAAAGTTTAGTTTTTCTCCTGCGTCTCTGTTTGTACACTCAGAAAAGCATTTTTTACTGTTTCATGTTCACTTTCAGCTGTATATATATTATATTTGTTTGGCCTTTTATTGCCTTTATTGATAGTAACAGCTGAAGATAGACAGGAAAGGGGGGCAGAGAGAGGGGATGACACGCAGCAAAGAAGG